TTCTTAGACTGTTTGAAATTTCAATAGTAATCGCTGGCACCGCATTTACTCTTAAACAGGGCAGTAATATCCAAAGAGATATCGGCAAAGGAAGTAAGGCAAAATATATAATTAACTTCAATACAACAGATAGTAAAGGTGTTGAAGCCTACATTATGCGTTATCTTGAATTGTCAGACTGTAAAATTGACGATATTGAAGATAGTAAATATCTTGTTGGTCGTCCTCGTCTGATGGCTCGCCTTATAAAGGAAATAATAAATGCAGAAAAAGTATCACAAGAAAACAAACAAATGGTGCTTGAATACGCTGTAAATAAATCCTGTCTCTTATACACATCTAGATGTGTATAAGAGACAGGTTTGACGTTTTGCCGAATATCTCGGCATCCAGTGATCGTACAGAGATGCACAATAGCTCATTCAAATCGTCTCATTACGACGATTCGAATGAGCTATTGTGCATCTCTCTACGATCATTGGATGCTGTTTCGAATTAAAACGGATATCCTTAATCCATCCGGATGCATCCATTATCCGTTCGGATCGGATGGATTGGCGGATGATCTGAATTTTCGGATTTCGGATCGCATCTCTACTTATCCCGACATCTGGTGATCCAGACTTGTTTGATTCTGCTGGTAGGTCACGTGCACGTGAACAATTGTTCATGCCGATCAATTTTTGAGATTTGATTAGTTTATCAGTATAAAGATTTATTATATTCTGGATTTGTGCATCAGTTAGCCTAGAGATTGCATCAGCACTAGATGTAACTACTCCAATTTTATCTATTCCTATTCCTTTGAACAATGTATGGATGCTTTTGGCCTTTTGAGTCATTTTGCGTAAATACTCTCTTTTTTTACCAGGGAGATACAGCTCCATTTCATCATAAATTTGCGTTCTTGCCATTTGATCGCTAATATTATTTTCGGAACTAAGGGTTACAACCTTTTTTTCATATTCCTCACTATAGTAATACCATTGTAATTTTTCTTTCCGACCTGTTTTTTCAGCCTTATCAAATAAATGAGCTAAATGAAGTACAGAATCTGGAGTTAAATCAGCGTTGACTGGAACATCTGAAATATATTTGCTAGATATAGAATTCGGTAGGGGTGTAGAATCATGTCATCTAATAAATTCAAGTAATTCACATATTAAATCTTGTTCTACTTTCTGATTATAGGGGATTTTCGCCTCCTTGATCTCTGATAAATTAACCTGTTTTTCTTCTATCTTCTGGGGTTCCATATGAACCAAGAAGGATTCCTTTGGAGCCGATTCTTTGACTACCTGTTCCGGGAGATTATGTTTAGTGTTAGTCATGGAGAGATCTGCTTCACGGTGAAGCGATTCAGAAGTAGTTGAGGATGATTGGCTAAGTTTCTTTTCCCGATTTCTCTGTCTAATCTCATTACTAACCTTTTTCTTATGCATCTCATCCAAGAAAGCGTCCGTTTCCCTATCTTCGGGTAATGAAGTATCCACCAATGGTTTCTCATAATGCGTTATCGTGGGCACCTGATCTGCATCCGAATTGAAGTTAGATGAAGTGTTGTTAGAAAAATTATCAATTAGCGACTGGTTCTGTTCCACTTTTGTGATTCTATCTCTAAACTCAGCATTCTCAGACTCGAGTTTAGTGGTAACTGTTTTATTTTTCTCTAGTTCCTCGATTCTGGCCTTAAGTTCGGCATTCTTAACATCACGTCTTTTACTCTCTTCCACAGCCTGTCTTAAAAGCTCAGCAATCCTGGCCTTAAGCTCAACTTTCTCGGACTCAATATCAGCAAACTTCCTTTTAAGATCAGGGATCTCAGCATTCTTATCCTTAAGCTCAGTATTCTCCTTCCTAAGCTCAGCAATCTCAGCTAAGAGCTTGGCATTTAATTCTCTCAATGAATCAATAGATTGCATGTTCGATAATAATTTTTTATATAAAACGTATTAATTCAAAAGCTCGTTAGCATAGATAAAAAACTGTGACAAAATGTCACGATCAGAATTGATTTATTGATGTAAAAAAATAAATTACAAGATTCGAAAATATATAAACGTTTTAAGTAGAGTCTCTATACTAATGCCTGCTGGTGTTTTGTTCATCTAAGCTATCTATATACTAACACATCTCAACGTTAACACGATTTCATTTGTCACCAATATCGATATTCTGGATAGAATAAAAGCGTAGAACATGCAGAGTCAGAAATAAGTTAACAGTATTGATCTTACCAAAAATTTATGTCCTCCGCTTAATAAGGTCTTCGAAATTTCTGAACAAAAAATAGATATAAGCTTTGCAATCCCCGAGTCGCTTCCTTGCAAATGTCTGAAAAATATACTTCATTCATATTTTAATTGCGAAATGTCTCATCTGTACTTTAATAATTTTTTCGTCAACACTTTTTAAACTGCAAGGTTCATGCTCAGAGAAAATAGCACGACGGCTTGAGGTCGGAATAAGAAAAAAAAAGTGATACTGCATCAGAGAAAACGCCTTAATTACACCAGATCTAATTTAGTTATGACTAAAGCTCCGAACAGTTCCAGTTTGAACCGGGAACCGATCCGGAACCGGCAAAAAATTCGGTTCGGTTCTCGGTTCGGTTTTGGACTTGGAACCGTCCGGTTCGGTTCGGTTCTATCCGAAATTAAGAAAAAATGCGAAAAAACGAATATACGACTATCCAGTGATCGTACAAGGACGAGCCATAGCTCGTTGGAATCCTCTCATCGAGACGCGTCGAATGGTAGTAAAATCAAGTCTCTAGCATCGATAGATCACGAGATAGCACATGGTGAGTGTTTCTTAAAAAATTTGCATTAGAAAACGATCCATTGATGCTAGAGACATGAATTTACCACCATTCGACGCATCTCGACGAGACGAATCTAATGAGCTATAATTCGTCCTTTTACAATCACTGGATGGTCGTGTATTCATTTTTTCGCATTTTTTTTTAAATTTTCGAACGTCAAAAATTAAAATTCCGATACAAGCGATTAAACGCCATCTATTGATCACACAAAGACGAATTTAGCTCATTAGATTCGTCTCACTGAGACGAGTCGAATGGTGGTAAAATGATGTCACTAGCATCGATAGATCGTTTTCTAATGCGAATTGTTTAAGAAACACTCACCATGGGCTATCTCACGATCTATCGATGCTAGAGACTTGATTTTACCACCATTCGACTCGTCTCAGTGAGACGAATCCAATGAGCTAAAATTCGTCTTTGTGTGATCAATAGATGGCGTTTAATCGCTTGTATCGGAATTTTAATTTTTGATGTTCGAAAATTTAAAAAAAAATGCGAAAAAACGAATACACGACCATCCAGTGATTGCAAAAAGACGAATTATAGCTCATTAGATTCGTCTCGTTGAGATGCGTCGAATGGTGGTAAATTCATGTCTCTAGCATCAATGGATCGTTTTCTAATACAAATTTTTTAAGAAACACTCACCATGTTTTATCTCGTGATGTATCGATGCTAGAGACTTGATTTTACCACCGTTCGACGCGTCTCGATGAGAGGATTCCAACGAGCTATGGCTCGTCCTTGTACGATCACTGGATGGTCGTGTATTCATTTTTTCGCATTTTTCTTAATTTCGGATAGAACCGAACCGAACTGACCCGTTCGGAGCTTTAGTTATGACATAATTTAAAATTAATTTTATTGGCTACTAATTATTGTTGTACAATCGATGAATTAATAAATACCTCATGAATGCAATCTGAGTAATGATAAAATCGTATGAATCACTCTTTTTCGCTTGCCGACAAGTTAATTTTATAAACTTTTTTTTTACTATGCTTATATCATTATATAAACTTTTTTTTTACTGTGCTTATATCATTATATAAACTTTTTTATATTATGCTTATATCATTATATTATATTTCGTGTCACCAATTAAGAGTTTATAAAGATCATTTTATAATTAATCATGATGTATTCAGAAAAGTATATAAAGTATATATTATATATATCTTAGACTTTCTTGAAATTTTTTAACTTTTTCTAAAAAGCTACAGAAGGCGATCAAAATTATCCGGCCAGTTTATTTTGCTAAAATTTTGTTGATCATGATGTGTTAATGTAATATAAATAAGATATAACTTTGTATTTATAATCACAATAAACAAATTCCAATGCTTCATATTTTTCGAAAATATGAAGTCACCCTATAGTATGAATTTTATAAATTTTACAATTTTGTGTAAACAAACTTAAAAATATTAAAAATATCATAATTTCGCCAATATCGATCTGATCGACCTGTGCTTACCACCATTCGAATCGTCTCAATGAGACGGATCAAAAGAGCTATAAATCGGAAAATTTCAATCACAGGATCAGAAAATATCATAGATGACATTTAGGCTTTTAGAGCGTAATCATGTGATGAATATCGATCCTACAAACATTAAATTATTACCATTCAAATCCTCTCAATGAGACGAATCTGATGAACCCAAAATTTCAAAATTTCAATCACTAGATCTCAAAATAACCTTAACATACAATTTTAAATTTTAAAATTTTCTAATTTTGCAAACTTTAAAAATTTATAATTTACATAGTATTACATTTGCATAATACCTGTAATTAATATGTAATATAATGGCATAATACTTTTTCAACATTATGCTTGCATACCTTATTAAATTTTCTGATAAAACCACTTGAAAAGTACTATGTTAAAGTTGCATTGAAAGGTATTACTCCAGAATATTATAAAAAATCTATCAATAGCATATCTCTGTGAATTGGGGAGTTATTTTTGCAAATGGAGATAGAATTTATTATTAAAATTTTATCTGAATTAGTAAACAAAGACATAATGAATTTGTTTAACTTAAATTTTTATTATTGCTATATTATATATATATAAATTATTTCAACTTGAAAAGTGGCCGGATAATTCTGATCGCCCTCTGTATTTACTCTTACAGAAACGAAATGTTATTTTCACTTAATTGTTTGGTTTCAGAACAAACTCCTAATGATATTCTCAATGTACCTATTGGCAAATCTTTCACCAGGGAAGGAAAGGTCAATATCAAATTTACTGATATGACTGTTGCAAACTTTAAAGAACAACTTTATCGCACAAAAGAAGTTAAAGAAGCTAATATAACTAAAATGAATATTTATAAAGTCGAACTTGAACTTGATAGCCTTGAAGATGATAAAACTTATACCAAAGATGACATTAATGGTACAATAATGAAACCTGGGCATGATCTTAATGAATATTTTAATGATGCCGGAAAAAAGCCTAAAAAAGGCCATCTTCACATCTTCATAATCCCCACCCCTACTGGTAAGTGTCTCCCAACGTTTTACCTCTCGAATAAGAAATTTGCAGTAACAAAATATCGAGTTTGGTCTGATCTCCTTTTTTTTTATTTATTTTTAGCTACTGGACAAAAACGACACGCAGATTCAGGTATGTTTTTGACACAATGATGAGCTCAAAACATTAGAATATACTACTAATGGTTGATGACATTCGCAACTATAGAATCTGTTGACATAGAATTTGTTGACACAAAACCAAAACGAAAAAAGGATATCCCTACGCTTGAAAGTTTGATTGTCGACTTTGAAGAGAAAATCCCTCTTGACAGACCCCCAGAACTTTACTCTATTTCTAATATTGCCGGGCGTTTCTACAAAAGAGATATACCAATTAGCAGTAAGGAATATGTAGATATGCGTTTAGATGTAGAGACTACTGATACGGGCAGAAAGCTTATCAACAATTTAAAAAATGAAACCAAAGCTTGCTATTTCCTTTATGCCGTTTCTGGAGCTGGCAAAACTAGAGCAATTTTTGATATGTCTATGAATGAAAATGGTATCTACGTAGTGTATGTGGAGTGTAGGCCATCTTCAGATATTAATCGGAATTATGAGCCAACAGCGGATCGTAATTTTGCACAGCTTGTTGCATCAATAGGTTCAGCCTTTGGACCATATAACGATACTATTAATAACTCTGCTAGAGAAGAAGCAAAGCGACTTATCATTTTAGAATTTACTGCACGAGTTCTCTATCTCATTCTTCTCAAAAAGAAGTTTCCAGGTATTACACCTCGTGACTATCTTCTATCCCAGCTCAACGGCAGACAAGAATGTATCGCAAGTATTAGAAATGAATTGAGGCTTTTTGGATGTGACTTTGATGACCTGATTTCAATTATTTCATCTGCTTTAAAACACTTAAAGGTAATAATCTATTGATTAAATTAATGTTACTCTTATAATGTACATTTTAATTTATTTGCAATATATATAACAGGATAAATTACCCGGTCAAAAATCACTTATTTTTGCCATTGATGAATCTAATGTTGCCAGCAATAAACTTTTTAGTGGTTATTTTCGCAATATAAACAATAATCCACGTGGTTTATTAACGCCAATGATTGAGATTCTTAGACTGTTTGAAATTTCAATAGTAATCGCTGGCACCGCATTTACTCTTAAACAGGGCAGTAATATCCAAAGAGATATCGGCAAAGGAAGTAAGGCAAAATATATAATTAACTTCAATACAACAGATAGTAAAGGTGTTGAAGCCTACATTATGCGTTATCTTGAATTGTCAGACTGTAAAATTGACGATATTGAAGATAGTAAATATCTTGTTGGTCGTCCTCGTCTGATGGCTCGCCTTATAAAGGAAATAATAAATGCAGAAAAAGTATCACAAGAAAACAAACAAATGGTGCTTGAATACGCTGTAAATAAGACAGTGCAGTCTATCAAGAATGATATGATGGACCATCTTGAAGTGATAGTAAATAAAGCATATGAAAAGGAAGATTGGGAGAATGCAGAATTATGAAAAATCTTGATGACACTCTTTATTAACTGCTGGTATGTTCTTGACATATTTATTGTTTATTCATAAACTGATAACTCACTATAGTAAAATGATATTTCAAGGTTCTTTGATGGTTATGTATCTAAAAGTGAAATAGATGATGATTCAGCAAAATTAGTCGACTGTGGCATTGCTTCATTGAAATCAGACAAAGATGAAAAATTTTGGCAAGTCAAAGAACCTTTAGCGATAGATGTTGTTAAAATTGTCCTTCGTTCCCGGTACAACAAACCTACTGAACCACTGATTGAGAAACTCTTATATGAATTACGACAATCTGCTTATTATTCAAATATATCTAAAGGCTTCATTTGGGAGTATCTTGTCATAGGAAGATTAATGGATTTTAATGGTAAAATGGTCTCTGAGTTTGTTAATGAAATTTATGGTGACGATCAACCACATATGCCAGATTGGGCTGGAGAAGCAATAATCAATATTGAATCATATGGAGATTTAAAAATGCTTTCTCGACTTGATGCTAAATTGAAAGATGATGTGGATGTTATTGAGAGTCTTTTATATGAATCAAAATTTTCAAAATATATGTTTAAACCTGGACATTTAGTACGTCCAGATGGTATTTATATTAGAAAGCTGGATAGAGTTACTTACTGGACTTTACTCATTAGTGCAAAAATGTATACCGATAAATTGTCAGGTACAGATGTTAATGATGACCAACGTTCAACAAATTGGAACCTTCTGTATCACAAGAAGAATGGCGAAGCAAATCCTAAATGCTATAATAAAAAGGAAAGACTTAATGATGTGTGCCACAAAGATTTTACCTGTAAAGGTTCATTGCGAATTCATTATATTTTTCCCGGTGTAGCTAAAGAATGCACTTCAAATCAGTCAGAACCATCAATTAGAGGTGGTTGCTATACTGAAAATAATGATATCATTATGTATATTGACAAAGAGTTGTTGGAACATTATTTTAAAAAAGAGGATGCAGATATTTTAAAGAAAATTCTTACATAAAATTTAATGTAATATTCTAGAACTTCTTATCCAACCAATATCCTACTGCAATGCTTTAAATTTGCTCATTAGTGTTAGATAATGTAAAATAATGTATAATAAGAAAAAATCTAAATCAAAAATGTGTAAGCGAAATAAATTTATTATTAAATTGCATAATCTGAATCAAAATTTTATTTATTCATACATGAGTTAAGATTTAGGCCCAATGTAAATAATTTTTAAATTTGGATATGAGCGAAAAATACTCTTAGAGGCAAGAGAAATACATGATATGCTTTCAAGAGTAATGCGACACCTGAGTCATATTATTTCTTTGCTTTCTTACAATCAATTTTTTTATCGCCGGTACGATACTGCGCCAAACATTGATTGTACTGCGTAAGATTTTTGCTGTGCCGTTGCATGTGATGAGATTCATGTGAACAATTTCACTGTCGGAAAGATCAAAATGTCAATATATAACAAAGAGTATTATGTCCTTTTCGAGTATGTGAGAAGTCGACTCCGCCCTATGATCAAAGATTTATTTCCATGCATCATCACATCATAGGTGCAACCGTGAAGAATCTTCACGATCAAAAATCACGTGCACGTGAACAATTGTTCCCGCCGATTACTTTTGCCAAGAAAAAATTTTTTATTAATACATGCAAAAATAAATACAAATGTTCAGGACTTAGCCCGTGATACATGACGTCTATCTAATATACATGATTATTTTTTCTTAATTATCTCTTCTACACAGCGCTTCTTAGTTGCGGGTTCCTCACTACCTACTGCTCTATTCTTTAATAATCCTACGATCACTTCTAAAACCCTCTTCACATTCTTACGCAATTCTGTATCATCTTTGAGAGCGTCTTCTGTAAGTGAAATTCAATACTCGGTCCTGCTCGTACTATAGATACCTTCAGTGCTGTGAAGAATGAAGTACCAGTCAGTTCCAGTACTGACTATACTATAGACGTAGTCGTAGTCGGGATCGAATGCATCATCCACCTTTCTTTTTTTCTTGTTCATATTTATATTCATCTGAGGGAAATAGAGAAGTAAATTAGCAATAGCCCATGATCATCCTATAGCGAGTGAGCTAGTAGAATCTGTTATACTTACATCGCAAGCACTTCGGCATTGTAGTAAGTTTTGGCAGATACTTATAGTTTCTTGATTCTGTTTGCCTTCGGTTATGCAAATTATTTCCTCCAGCATCTCGCTGATAATTTTTTTGATGGCATAGTCGACACGGCCTGTGTTTTCTTCACCAATTATATTTGCCTGAGGTGTGATTACCAAGTCGCCGAGAATACTTATAGCCGTATGTAAGATCGTTGAAATATATTCGCATCGCATAGCTTTGTTACTATCTACAACTGGTCCCATATTTTTTATTCTACGAAGGATATCATCAATGCATAGCTTAAATTCGGAGGCGCTTTCGTTGATGTTGTGGGTGGCTATATTATAATATGTGAGCTCGAAATATATAAAAAAAACCCTTTAATCTGATATTACTTACGTGGTATGAACTGTGGAATGCGAGTTATATCCCCGCTAACAATCCCATATTTAGCACCTCACCCAACTCTTTCTTAGTCTTGTACGAGGAGAACGACCTCAACTTTTTATCTTTACACTCCTTAACGAACTTCACGAGTCTCATAGCAGGTCCCAAGCCTAAGCCAACACTGCGAAGCCATTCTTCGGTCAAGTCAAACAAGTCCCCGCCATTAAGCTCTTCCTTCTCTAAAATTTTGATAGCCGTTTCACTAAGCTCCAAGTTTTTCTGCCCCTGCAAATATTCTATAAGTTTGGCCGTATCATATTTTTTAATTTCATCTGCCAACGAGACCGTCTCATTTCCAGCAACAGAGATAGAGGTGGAAGCTGGAGTATAAGGTGTACTGGTTTCAGAAGACATAGTGTTACGTTTTTATAGGGATATTTGGCTCGGACAAAAAATAATGTTACTTTCCAGAGTAAGATAAAAATTTATTTCTGTTCGGGAAAGAAAATACTGGGCGTTAATATAGGTTTTTATGTAGCACAGGCATTGCATCATTACACGTAGAGGTGCGCTCCGGATGAATCTGGTCAATCCGTCATCTGGATGATCACGTGATGGATTAATCCAGATTAAAAAAATCGGATCATCGGATTATCCGCGGATTGACCGGATTGATTATAATTCCGGCCGGAATTAAGTAATCGGCATAGAATTATCCTTTTTAGGGTATGAGTAACGTTACGCAAATCCAAAAAAAGGCAATTTTGTTTCCCAGCAAAAATGAAATTTTTGGTTTCACAAAAATCCTAAAAAGGAAATTTATCGCCGATCATTTAATTTCAGCCGGAATTTATGATTAGGTATTTAATTGTTGTCACGTGACGCACGGGTATGTCGATCATTTCCATTTATGGCGATACCCGTTCCACAAAAAAAACAGTTTTTCTAAATTTAGTTTCCGGTCGTGTAACATAAAATTTCCTAAAAAGGGAATTTTTTTGTCGATCCCGTATAGGATTGATCGGATATCCGGTCATCCATCCGGTCTATTTGACGGATTCATCTGATCAATCTGAATCCGCCTATTAGACGGATTGATCCTAGGATGACCGGATTGACCAGATTCGGAGCCTACCTCTACGCTGAATGAAGGCGGTAAAGAGATTATCTAGTTTTGACGATGAACAGATAACAAAATATGATAAGCATAGATTACTAAAGATGTTANGCCTAAACCCCTAGGTTTCGGCAAGCAACCTTAGTTTTGATTTATTATTGAATAAAATCGGTTATTATTATTATGAATAAACTAAATCCGGCATTTCAAAAGAAATAAATTGGTAATCTTTCGTAAATGTGTTTTGAGATCGATTTGTGTATATTTTATAACTAAAAGTTTGACAAATAGTTTTGTTTCCGAATTTTGCTGATAATAACGAATTTTTACCGATTTGTGATTGCCAAGTGGCAGGCGAACTGTGCAAATCGTCCATAATAATTTTGACGATTTTTTTGGCAACGATCGGCCAAAGTTAGATCAACTTTCGTCCAACATTCGTCAATTTGAAATTTGGACGAAATGGACTATTCTGACTAGTGATCGCAGATTCATTATCTGTAGTAAGTGCTAACGCTTTACCTGCTAAGTTGAATTCATTAAGAACATTAGTGATTGCTGCTGCCATATTGATTCCTGTATGACGAACTTTAAAGGGAATAATATCAAGTAAAAAATGCCGAAGAACCCAATTTTGGTCAATATAGTGAATTGTTAGGCCAAGGTATGCTTCGCTACTTATAGTTGATGTCCACATATCGGCAGTGAAGGAAACTTTACTAGATATTTTTTGTAAATCATAGCCAATATTAGAATGACGTTCATTAAATTCATCAATAATCATTTCTTTTATTTGATGTCGATCAGGAATTTTGTAACGAGGATCGAAAATATGCATCATTTCAATAAATTTTTCATTTTCCACAACACTAAAAGGTTGTTGGTTATCAATAATCCAAATAACAACTGCTTTATCTCGCTCCAATTTTTCTTTTGCAGGCCAAGGGTCTGTACATTTGAAATTTAATGTTGTTTGCTTTCTAACCTTTGGAATTATTATGTTGTGCTTATTTAAAAGATGCTGTTCAATAGTAGTATTACTTGACTTAATAGAAAATACATAATTGCACCTTTTGCATACAAGTACTTCCGGGTGAGCTAGGCTTTTGCAATCTACATAATTCCATAGAGGTGAAGTTTTTCGAGAACTTCCTTCAGTACGTAATATGTTATCCAAAATGTCATTACTCTCCAAGTCAACAAAATCGAACGCATCATCTAAACTCATTGTGTAAGTTTGTACAACAAAAATTAAAAATACCGTGTAATATATATACCAAATGTAAGAACCCTTTTTATTGGTTAGAACTCATTTAAGACTAACTCCTTATTAGTCCAAAAAATTGGACTTAAAGATCTGCAGACTCAGTCTTAAGACTGAGTCTTTAGGTCCGAAATAAGAACTTTACCAACCCTAATTGTTCTGGCGTTTTTATATAAAAAATAATTAAAAAAAATGCTGGAACCCATAGTTCTAGCATTTTTACATAAAAAAAATTAAAAAAAATGCCAGAACCATAGTTCTGACATTTTTATGTAAAAAAAATTAAAAGAAAATGCCAGAATCATAGTTCTGGCATTTTCATATAAAAAAAAATTAAAAGAAAATGCCAGAACTATAGTTCTAGCATTTTCATGTAAAAAAAATTAAAAGAAAATGCTAAAACCATAGTTCTGGCATTTTCATGTAAAAAAAATTAAAAGAAAACGTCAAAATTATAGTTCTGGCATTTTTATATAAAAAAATCAAAAGAAAATGTCAGAATCATAGTTCTGGCATTTTTATGTAAAAAAAATCAAAAGAAAATGCTGGAATCATAGTTCTGGCGTTTTTATGTAAAAAAAATCAAAAAAAATGCTGGTACCATAGTTTTGGTATTTTTATGTAAAAAAAATCAAAAGAAAATGCTGGAACCTATAGTTCCAGCATTTTTATGTAAAAAAATCAAAAGAAAACGCCAGAATCATAGTTCTGGCATTTTTATATAAAAAAAATCAAAAGAAAATGCCAGAACTCATAGTTTTGGCATTTTTATGTAAAAAATCAAAAGAAAACGCCAGAATTATATATAGTAATGGCATTTTTATGTAAAAAAAAATTAAAAGAAAATACCAGATCCATAGTTCCAGCATTTTTATGTAAAAAAAATTAAAAGAAAATGCTAGAACCCATAGTTCTGGCATTTTTATAAATGTACGAAGCTGACAGTTATGGGCAGCAATTAAAATTGCAGAATTGCAGGCTACTAACCGCAATTCAACTCCAAAATCCACAATATTGCAGAATTTGAAAATCATTTGCGGACCCATTCTTACATATAAGTAGTTAGATTTCGTGTACTAACTGTAAATTTGCTAGGTAAGAATCGACTGTATATGTTATAAATTAGCATGATGGCATCTCTAGATAATTCGTAAAAATCATATATTCACAATTCAATATTGCAACTTTTATCATTCTAATTGCTGATTTTGCAATGAAACCTTGTTTTCTCATTTGGTACCCATAAATACCAGTTGACAAAAGCAAGCTGATGCGATTGGCAGCTAAACCGTATGCTCAAAATAATACTGAACATGACTAGGGTAAATGTCTATAGACTAGAGGTGCGCTCCGGATGAATCTGGTCAATCCGTCATCCGGATGATCACGTGACGGATTAATCCGGATTAAAAAAATCGGATCATCGGATTATCCGCGGATTGACCGGGTTGATTATAATTCCGGCCGGAATTAAGTAATCGGCATAGAATTATCCTTTTTAGGGTATGAGTAACGTTACGCAAATCCAAAAAAGGCAATTTTGTTTCCCAGCAAAAATGAAATTTTTGGTTTCACAAAAATCCTAAAAAGGAAATTTATCGCCGATCATTTAATTTCAGCCGGAATTTATGATTAGGTATTTAATTGTTGTCACGTGACGCACGGGTATGTCGATCATTTCCATTTATGGCGATACCCGTTCCACAAAAAAAACAGTTTTTCTAAATTTAGTTTCCGGTCGTGTAACATAAAATTTCCTAAAAAGGGAATTTTTTTGTCGATCCCGTATAGGATTGATCGGATATCCGGTCATCCATCCGGTCTATTTGACGGATTCATCTGATCAATCTGAATCCGCCTATTAGACGGATTGATCCTAGGATGACCGGATTGACCAAATTCGGAGCCTACCTCTAATTACACATGACCCGTTTCTCATATACGTTCGATAAAATAATAATACTTTATTTATGAAATAAAACGTTGCCAGAACCTGGCCTACAATACATAAAAATTGGCCGTTAAGACGCTTCGCACGAATATTTCGCATACTAGTTATAATAACCATATACATTCTCCTCTACAAGAATATGGCAAACGTCCGCAGTGAGATTCTCATCGAAAAAATCAGAAATCAAGCTCCCTTCTCGCATAGCAACATATTTTACAGGTTCAAGGTGATATGCGTGAAGATAAAATGGAACGTTTCTGAATGGCTGTGGTAGCAGTTGCTGAATCTGAGTGTGGAGGTTTCTGACCGCATTTTCAAGAGGGATTGTAACTATTAGAGTGACATTATTGTTTGGGATTCCAATGAAGCTACCGGTGGGAATTATGAAGCAGTTGAGAGTAATATTGGCCATATTTTCGTTTTCTGGAATGTAAGGGCCCATTGTGAGAAATTATCGCTTGCAGTAAACATGACTTTTAGCATATACATACCTCAATTATTTTTGCGGAAAGTTGGCTGAACTTCCACATACCTCTACATGCTTTATATCTTGCTGGGAAAAAAGAGCGCCAAGTCGAAGATAAGGAGGTATAAGGCGTAATTAGTATTGTTGTCTGATGCCAAGAGTTCTATGAAGGCACATGCAAATGGAATCTTCATACCTTTTCACATGGGGATCTACCGGAGAGACGCAAAGGTAGTTAGTTCTTGTAGATCTCGAAATTCCAAAGTCCTCAGCCTTTCATAACATATGCTTTTGTCGTCACTATTAACTTATAAGGTAGGTACTGTATTACATGTAGACCTCCTTTCAAGCGAAGCGCCTGTGAAGCAGGCCATTTTTCTCATGTTTGTTCAGGGAAAAATAGAGATACTAGTTAGCATACATAACTCAGTATGTGAAGAAATAATGTTTCACAGACTGATTGTATGATCAGCCATTACATCATTGCACAGAAATCTATGGCTCAGCAAATTCTTGCGAGCTGAAGATCACAGCTCCGGACTAGTTAGATTGGTAGTGTACCACCCCGCCATAGAGGGTCTTGTTAATTCCAGATTAAGAAAAGCAGAAATAAAATTATTATTAGAGAACCCAGATTGGGTCAAAATCTGAACATTGCTAGCCTGACTAAATACAGTAATAAAATCATGCACATTTTCCTTTTCAGCTCGAATAAGCATTTCTACCATTTTATCAGGATCAAGATCGTGACTATAATAACATCCAAATCTTTCAATATACCTTTGACTTTCTGATGACAATCCTTTATGGAATATTTCTCTAAGATGATTTTTACAGAGCTTGATAACATCATTACATCTCTTTATCTTCGAGTAATAATCCACTATTGAGTCTTCACCTTGAAGCAATAACCCATACTGGAACTTATCTACTTCATCTGCATCATCTACCTTAATCTCATTTTTATCAATACCATCCGGCCATATTTCCTCTCGAAGTTCCTCAGCACTATATGGCAATTCTATTAGGCTCAAAATTTGTGGAAGATAAAAAGCATCAGATTGTGTAAATGTATGGAGTATTGATGTTGGATTTCTTACACCAGGCAGACTATATACAAATCGTTTAAGTATTTTCTCCCCTCAATGCCTGACTGCCTTTGTCTTCCAATAAATTTTGATTTCGCAAAATAGATCTTCCCAGTCTTGCTACTCTGGTATAAATTCAGGATTTCCTTCATTATCCCATTCATACCTCGATCCATATTCTTTGATAAATTTATTGTAGCCTTCATCTGTCTCATCATCTGACATTTTGCTAATAGAGCAATTATACTTAATAAAAAATAAAGTACTGGTAGCGTGCATAGCTTCTTTTCAGTATATGCGAAAATTATGTTGCACATGACCTGACTGATGATCCACTTATTTTTCTGTCCCACAGGAGTGGCCCAGCAAATTCTTCTGAGCTGATGATCAGTATTCCGGACTAGTTAGATCGGTAGAGTATCACCATTCGGTTAGCATTCTATCGAAATAATTCCTTTGGTGATTGGCTAGATAAAAAGGTTGTTCTTCTCTAATAATTCAGAAAGTTTCCAGGTATCGGTTTCTTCCCACCAAGGGACCACATTTTCAGCTATTTTCTGTATATTATAATTTACAATTTCTTTTTCTTGCCCGTGGAGTATTCCATTTCGAAGCATATAGCTTTCGATCTCTACCTGTTTTTTAGCCGTCTCAATTTCCCTTTCAGTATAAAAATTCTCTATGTCTTGATGAAATAATCCTTGCATAAAATAATCATAAGGATATTTTCTCTCTACCTCATCCATTTTGAACTCTCGTTCACATTCTAATTTATAATATTCTAATACTTGTATCTTCCATCTTGTATCTGCTTTTTCAAGCGAGTTGTATGAATGCATTGTATATCAAACGTAATGATTTACTTAACTAATGTTTTTTATTTCAATTACTAATTTTTACCTACATTATTCTCTAGACGAAAAAATAACTTTATAAAAACTTTTCCAGAAGACGGCTAGATTGCCATTGCTTTTAGCATCTGTTCTATTTCATCATCTGATCTTTCATGATTCTCCTCTTTAGCTATATGATAATAAAGCTTATATAATTCCTCTAGGCTAGCATACAGGTCATTATCTTCATATCATTTCCGATAATTTTCTAGCTTTAGAGTGTATGCTTCTTCATTAGGGAATATCTTTACTGCGGTTTTCTTAATATAGTTATTCGGATTTTTTTCAGCTTGCAGTTTCTTTAGATATTCTCCATAATTTTTCACAAGATTATCATATTTTCTGCCTTTTCGCAATGCTGTTTTTATGATTTTGACTTGCGCAAGTTCTATATCCTTATGATCAACCATTTTGTATCTTTCTACTTTAGCAATATAAAAACTTTAATTAATAAAAATATATTCTTTAATAATTTTTTACCCAGAAAAAATATTTGTTATAAAGCATCTATTCCTTGACACGAAGTCTAACTTTCATAGCCCTTTCTTCTGCTTTCTCAGGAGCTATTTCGGTTGCCACCAGGCGTTTATATAGTCCAATTTGCCAATGTCCATATGGGAGAGTTCGAATTTCATTAAGTAAGATCCAGCGCTTGTTATCATATGGATTCAGCCCTATCTTATTTACCCTCTCCAGATATATTTGATGATCATAACTTCAGAGGCCATACATATCATGCCAAGTTAGTTTCTTATTTCTAAGACATTCTAGAAATTTATCATGTCAAAGCTCCCTTTTGACCATGCATTTCTTAACACCCTTTGCCTTCTGGATGCCATGTTTCTTCTTAGGTTCTTCTGAATCAGGATCATCGGGAGTTTTTGGATCATGACCTGCTGGAAGAACTGAATACATTTTTGGCTTTAAGCATACTGATTCGCCTATTGGATCTCCTTTTGTCTCATCCTTCATTAGAAACAAGTCTCCTGAATAGTTAAGATCGAAAATGTCTGGTCTTTCTGCTCGATCTTTATAGATATTCTCAGTTTCTATCTACATTATGAGCGAGTCTGTATCTGTATAAAGTAGACGGGCCTTATCTCCATAGCGAGGCTTTATGTAACTGTACCAAAAGTTGAACATCATAGCCTTGCTAATGTCGAGAATTGCCTGCCCTACATAGATTGGTTTGTTTAGAGTTACTGTACTTTTTAACATATGGACTGCTGTAATTCCCCCTTCGAATGCTTTAAAGCCTACATATAATGGTGAACTTGCTAGGCGCCTGATTTTTTTATCCTCTTCTGTTCGGAGTAGCTCTACTCTCATATGTTTACAGACATTCTCTATCTGTTTGCCGAAGACTGCATTATTTTTTAACTTATAATACATAACTCCAAACTCATCCCCAGTTGCCTTAGCTATTTTGCGTTTACAAATATTTTCCTCAATATATTCTTTCATCCATGGAGACTGCCAGAATTTTAATCCACCATGAATCTTTGTAACTTTCATCCCCAATTTCATGTATAACTGGAGTGCATGATAATGGATCACGTAGTTCTTTTTAGGATAAAGGGTTTGGACGAGCTTTTCTCCTGTTGTATATTTTCCACCCCCAACTTCTTTATCTTGCACTAATCTTTCATTATACAAGCTAAGCCATTTTTCTGGAACTATCTGCTTTTTTGGTGCTAAAGGATAATCTGCAAAGAAATCATGCAAATGCACTGGGGCTTCTAGATCAACTTCTAATGTATATCCTATTTCCGCATCTGGTGCAATGCTTTGTATGTCCGGAACCTCTTTTGGGTTTACTTTTCCCAATATTTCTATAGGCATATATTGGGTCATTGCACCTGAATATAAAGCATTCTTATTCTCATATAATGTCCAAGTTGTAGGCTTACTAGAATCGTAATCTGGACATTTCAGATTATTAGCTTTGGCATATCGGTGACTTGCCATTGTCATTCCTCCACGGATACCATTTTCAACCATCAGATATTCATCCATATCTGTCATGAGCTTGAGTTCTGCCCCGCTACTTTTGTAAAGAGAATCATTAAACATTTCAGGTGCTGAAACATAATGAGAGGGATCTAAGCCGTCATCTTTCAAGCACATGATAGTGTAGTTCATAAAAACATCCGTAAGTAAAAGTACATCTGTCTCAAGATAAAGATCATGATATTCTCCAAAGTTCTTCATCTCAAATATTTTCCATACCTTTTGAGCATGTTCATAACCCTTTTTACTAATATTTTGCTGACTAAGAAGTGAGTAGAAGTCCTTTCTAGGTGAGAGGCTTGTTCTGTCGAATTTTTCCCATACATTTGTCCAGTTGTATGGGAAAACGCCCTTTCGAAAAAGAAGTTTAATCTTATCTATTGAATAGCCTTTCTCAGTAAAATACCTAACAGTTAGGATGAATTTTTTGAGCTTTCCTCCTAAACATTCTACTAATTTATCTAATCCCATTTCCATATGCTGAAAGCTATCAAGAAATCGGAGCTGGCCAACATCCATGGCTTTGTACTTTCCTATATTCTCTGGGATGCAATTTAGCTTATCAGCCGTGAACTTACTCACAACTTTCATAAGCGGATGAGAGTCATATCCCCAGAAATTATGACATATAAGAGGCACTTTAGTTTTGAAAGAGCCTATTCGCAATTTTTTGTTACAAGAGTCATGAGCTGGGTCTCGGTACTTTCCATTTATATGATCATGATTCTTTACTTTTCGATTAAGTGCACTTAAAGCTTCTCGATATCTTTTCTGTGCCTCTTTCTTTTTAGAATGTTCTTTTTCCATGCATGTTTCCCATTCTTTGATTTCTAATAAATTATGCTTTGCTTCTTCGAGTTTTTGTACTATCTCTGGTGCTGGTTTTAAAAAAGGTCCCTTGCAAATCCAGCATTCTGTCACCTCATTGTATGCTTTAAGATCTCCTAGTGCCATTATCATTTCTGCAGGCGCAGATAAGTCCTCCTGTATGTTTGCCAGCTCCTTCTCGATTTTTGTAACGAATCTTTCAAGCGCATCCGGACTCCTATATAAATCTTGACTTATGATTTTATAGTTGAGTGAACTATCCATACAAACAACTACATAGCAATAGCCACATGGCTTGTGCATCTGTAATCTTTTTGTGTGGATTAACTTCATTTTCTCTTCTGGAGTTAGTTTTTTGGTCAACATTTCAAGATCCCAGAAAATGCGATATGGATTTGGTTGCATGCATTTATGGTTATAAAAAGCTTTGATACTCTTATTCTTAACTGGCATTTGCGGTTGCTGGGAGGCATTATTTAGACCCTTGCATTTTGGCAAATGTTCATTATATCTTATCTCTGAAGAGTATACATGGAGACAATAACGGCAGAAGTATTTTCACCCTTTATGTTTGCTATGATTGTATATTAGCTTATGTAAATCTTTGATAATACAGTAATGACTTCTTTCTTTTTTCGTAATTACTAGAAGATTTACTTGCTTATAATCATCCCCTCTTCTTTCTGAAACATAACGAAATTCAAGACACTCATTCTGGTTGTGCCATTCATAGACACATAGACTGATTTTAGGATTATTTTCTTCAAACTTTTTATAAACTGGTGTTGAGACCGGCACTGAAATTGGGATGTCCTAGGACCCCGAAAAATACATATGGAGGTCATAAATGATCGGCAAGATTTTGGCCTAAAATAAGCAACTTTTCAGGGCCGGAATTATGATAATGCTGGCCAGTATTAAAACGGACAATAAAATTTAGGCAGGCACTATCTAAAAAATGCAAGATTTTCATGAAAATTTTGGTTCTTTTTAAGCAAACTCAAATGTGACCTTTTTATGTATTTTTCGGGGTCCTGATGTCCTCCATATTAAGTTTCTTCATGAAACATCCATATAGCCGATGTGGATTTCTCTCTGGATGAACTTTTACAGGATGCAAAGCTCCTAAGACATTCCAGCTGAAACACCAGTCATCATTATTTTGAATATTAATAATTCCGTTATTACATTTTGGCAAAGTTTCTGGCAAAGGTATATACGCAGTAGGACCAATCAGATTGAAATCAGATATCTCTATACTAAATTCTTCTATATATTCTGGGTAAGTAGTGCTCCGAAACGAGTCGAGTTGACTCACGAGTTGGTCGAGTCGAGTCGAGTCAAGTCGAGTTGAAAATTACAATCAAATCGAATCGATTCGAGTTGAGTCAATAATTTAATAAAATCGAGTCGAGTCGAGTTAAGCTGAATTAAACATAATTCCGGCCAAATTTATGGAATTTCCTTTTTTGGAAATTATGTTACACAAAATCCGAGACGAAAAATTTTTGAAAATTACAAAAATGGAATTTTGTGGAACGGCTATCGCCAAAAAAAGGAAATGATCAGTATAGCCGAATTAAAATCACGTGATTTAATTCGACTCGACTCAATTCGGTTTGACGGGCCAACTCAACTCGAATCGAGTCGAGTTTATATTTTTATAATTTTAACTTGACTCGACTCGACTCGATTTAACTCGAGTCGAATCGAGTTTACATATAACTCGACTCGACTCAACTCGTTCGGAGCTTTATAAGTAAGCATCAGACATTTAGTATATTAGTTAGCTCTAATCGTCATGCTATTACTTGCTTATATAATTTTTTTTTAATTATTTATTTCCTATGTACCTATCACTTTTCGATCATAGAAACCTACTGAAGATAAGTATTTACAAGCTTTCCAAGCAGTTCTAGCTATCACAAAACTGAAGCATTAACTAAATCTTTTCGTATCTAGTAATAAAAAGTAGGATGATTGGCGAATATTCTTGCCCATTTCTCCGCAATACCGAAAAGGCTTGTGGGAATGCTAGTACTAGGCCTGAAGGATGTCGATTCTATTGAAAGGCTAAAAAACGTATACCTTATTCCGATTGTGGTAAACCTACTGCTTCAGCTTGTGGACGATGCCCATTACATATCAGAGGGTACTATGTTATATACATGCCACCCAAATTATTTTGGATTGCCGTAATTATAAGTAAAATTCCAAATTCAATTATGGCATCCCAAATTATAATTATGGCATCCCAAAATAATTTGGGCAGCATGTATACTATGTTACCCAACACTATAATAGTCTTCAATCAGAGTTACAACAAAGATTTCGATCAGAGATGCGAGAAAGAACTTTTGAGGAATTAATGGTTACCCATAGAGATGCACTTGCAAAGCTAAATATTACTCTCTGCAGGGAATGCTTTCATCCGATAAAATTAGAAGAAGGAGAATATTGTGTTAGTTGTCAGCCAGAATAGGTAAAGCAAATGGAAAGACCATTTCAGCTAGTTTTATACCTTAATTTTAGCCAGAATTTGGGCACAATATCTAACGAGCATTTCGTTAGACTTGCTTTTTAGCCAAAGGCGCAGAGCATATTTTTTTTCGTTAAAGTTTTATAATTAATATGCTATTTGATAAGCTAGCTCGCGCAGAATCCATTCTTGACTAAGGAAAAGTTGGGACAATTCTGCAGATTTTGCAGGGGTGACATTTCGTTAGACTTTTATAAAAATATGCTTTTTAGTAAGCTAGCCTGCATTGAACCCATTCTTAATTAAGGAAAAGTTGGGACAAAAATCCCGTTAGATTTATTTAACAAATATGCTATTTAATGAGCCAGCTTGTACAGAAGGCATTCTTGTATATAGAAAAGTTTGTGATTTAAAAAGTCACATAATTTTTTCGTTAGACTTATTTATGGGTAATAAGGACCGTTAGACTTAAATTCGTTAGACTTAAATAGTTAATATGTTATTTTAAAGAGCTAACACGCGCAGAATCAATTCCTGATATAAAAATTTTCGTTAGATTTAATAAATATAACTGAAAAGTTAATATAGAAATTAAGATTCTAGAGCTGTTAGAAGCTTTTCTAATATATTAATAAAAATCAATATGTTTTCTGAAGTTGGAGAACCTATACAGAATTAAGAAATATAATATTAAAATTAAGATTCTAGAACTGATAGAAGCTCTTCTAATATAATAAGAAAAATCGATATTGTTTTTAATGTTCTGTGACCTGTACATACAATGTGAAAGTAGGGGCCGGACCTTCAGTCCTTAAACTCTCACTTTCACATTGTGTCATTTTGTGTTGAAACAAGAGCTAAAAAATCTAATTACTTGGATGGAATGATGGAAATCCTCTTGTTAATTCAGGCCAAGTTTGTAGTGCTGACCTGAATTAAATCAGTGTAATCTAAAATATTGGTATACCTTACTATAGACTACTATAAAGGGACAAGAGGTGAATATCGGTACATATTACATCGCGAAATTATATATAATATCAGTACAATGAGATTTTTTTATTAATTGTGAAATGGGACAACAAAAATTTATCAGTACAGGCAATTATCGGTACATAGAATATCGGTACATCGAGATCCGACTATATAAAGGAAATATTTGTTGGAATCATAACCCTATTGAGAAAGAAGTTACAATTATTATTAAACACATAAGGGAAGCTCAATGAATAGAAAATTTTTTCAACTTATATAGAAATGAGTATTGGAATAATTCTGAGATGCTTATAGAAATAGATTGATCAAGTATATTTAGAGTACTTAAAGGTAATATTAAATTAACAAATTTTTCAGAACACGAATTAAACTCATTTAAAGTCAAAATTCAAACAGAAGAATTACCAATACTGGATAATTTAGTTAAAAGGAAATCACATGTTTATAGTTCTAAATGGAAATGTTCTATATGTTTAAAAGATAAAGAAACATATATACATTTATGGAAATGTGAACATTTAGGACAAATAAACTAAATATGATAGGTAAATTTTAACAATACCTACAAGAATTGATATTAGCTAATAGTCAAGTGGAAAATGCAAAATCTGATGACGTTCTTAAAGAAATCTTGCTTTATAAGATTTGGGATTTTAATAAAGCATATAATTTGTCTATGCTAGCAAAAGGTTTTATACATATAGATTTGGTTAACTTATTTAAGAATTATAAAATATTAGATAAAGATAGAATAAAATTATTAGATGGTTTGGTTAACAAATTGATTTTTGACTTTAAAGTTTTTATATGGGAGTATAAAAATGTTAAATTAGCTGATTTAGAACATCAGAAAGAAATTAATACTAAGATGAAAAAATTGGCCAAAAAATCTAAATTAGTGGTTAATAAATTAAATAAAATAGTAAGTTTACATTGGAAGCTATAGAATAGCTTAGTTTTTGAGACAGGCGAGTGACAGGCGGTCACTGGTCAAATTTTTAAATCTTTTATGACATGTCACCTTTGACCTCAAGGTGACAGGTCGGTCTTTTCCTTTTGAAAGGGTAGTATATTAATAATGTTTAAATTTATTTAGAATACTTTATTTTATTTTACTTTTGTAAATATATTGTATTACTTCAACATTATTATCAATAAACATGATCACGCCTTTACAAAGAAAAAAAAAAAAAAAAAAATTACTAACCAAGTTTATTGACTAAATTCAAAGAATTTTGATTAATTAAAAAAAAATTCTTATATGATAAATATAAAATTAAGAGAAATTTTGTTATCTATAAGAATAATTGGAATCTGAAGGAAATATATAAACTAATAAACTTGTATTTAAAAACTAATAAGTTATATATTTTGTATCTAATAATTTTAACATTTCACTAAAAACATGTAGTATAATGACATAAAAAAATGCTGTACTTTATTGTTATGCAAAATTCATTTAGGTATTTGTCTTATTATGGCTTTTTATTTTAGTCAATTAATTAATTAAATATGACTAATTGATTTTTGATTGATAACCAATCAATCAATTAAAAGATTTAGGAGAAACCAAATTCCCTATATGAGCTTCTAATTCAAATTGATAAAAGTATAATTATAGCATTCATGGTTTAATTTTTTTAGTCAACAAATTTTTTGTACCTTTTTAGTAAGCTACAGTATAACTAAAGTATTCTGAAGTTTATTACTGTATATTTTTATATATTCTGTTAAATATTGATAACGTTTAAGAACAATTTAAAATTGGATAATTAGAATCTATTATATATACAATAATATTTCATTATTATAATGTAAATATTGATTGTTTATAATTTCTACTTTAATAAAATCTACTCTCCAAGTAACCTTGATAAAGCAAATCTAATATAAGGGCTAGTTATACTCTTTGGTTGATTTTTACGAATAGCCATGATAAATGCCATAGCCAGTGAAAAATAAATAGCTTCACCATTTCTATTACCGGAAAAAAATTGTAATTAATAAATGACAGAAAATAGAAATGTGTCGATCCCTTAACCGTTTATCGTGTGATTATTAAACGGTCATCATACCGGATCGTCACACAAAAATTAAACATATACCTTATATTCCTAACTTTTCCCTTCTTAACCAACAATTTCCAAAGTGTTTCAATCGATAATCTCAAACTATACATCCCAATATCTAATCTTCTATTAGGTTTTTCCACTAAAATCCACATCCCTCCAATAAATCCATTGAGATAAAATCTAAATAAAAAGTAATTAACCAATGTAATTTTATATAAATAAAAGTTGAAACAAAAAAGAATACCTTGAGATAGGCATGAATTTGTTTGGAAGTATTTTTTGAAAGCCACAAAATAACGCCCATGAAGTTGCAATTGCCATTGTAATAAATGTAGCACCTTTAAATATCTCAGGTATTGCGTAGCTTAATATAGTGGTGATACCTCCGTTAGGTCTAAAAATGGATGTATAATAAAAAAAAAAACTCTAATTATTACGTGCCAAGATATTATGGAGGAATTTTTCACTAAAAAGTCCCAATTCTAAATATAACCAGTAACACAATCGCCTCACCTGGATTTTCCACTTAAAATTAAAGAAATGGTATAAACTATTCCCATAAACTTAAGGGCATCAATACCTTCTTTTGCAATAAATTTCGTATAAGTAACCAAACAGCTAGGCTCCTCGTGATGTAACATAGCACACAACATTTTTGAATGAGCAGGATGAGCAATTTCCAATACTGGTTGAATGGGTTTTAAGTTGTCAGGAAGTGGGGGTACATCTCTACCATGAAGTTTAGATGAATAAAATTCAGGATAGTAAAGTGAAGCCAATATTTCTATACGATCAACTATTTCTCTTCCAATTGGCCACGGCATTGCATCAGAAAAATCACTTGGTTTTGGATTTACGTATGTTGTACTACGACTAGTAATAAACTTGTCGTAATTTTTCTATTAAAAAAAAAAGTGATGTTAATAACTTTTTTTTTTCCCTTGAAGAAAAAAAAAAATTTTTTTTTCATTCTTACGGGGAATATGTCAGGATGTAATAAGTAGGCATAAATTAATTGAGCAGAGCTAATTGGAAATAATAACCAAGAACCCCACCACCAAGGCATTCTAGGAATAATGCCATTTTGCCTAAGTGCATGATAAGTGTATTGTAAACTTTTGCTTAACATAAAAACAGCAATTAATATCCTGCGAGATTGTACATTGTCAATAAGTAAAGTAGGACCAGCCAATAATCCAGCTAAAAAGGGTGGAACCAATGGAGAACAAACTACATCATTAACTATTAAACTGGATGAGGGAGGTGGCCGAAGTAATGGATCAAATAATCGCGTAAAGAATCGAAATAAACTTTTATAAATTATGGCGTATGATGCAATCGATAATGCACATCGTGTAGAGGAATATAATGACACCTTCTTTAAAATCTGATTTAGACTGTAAAAAGAAGAAACAAATTATTTAAAATATTTTTTTACCCTTTAAACTCAATTTATCAATTTACTAACCTAGCTTTCCTCCTAAACAATTTGGGCAAACGAACCACAACTTCAACTACATTAGCAATGGCATACACTTGTATAAAGGCAAATAAGCCTCTACGTGTAGTTTGCGGTAAACAGTCTTTATGTAGACAAAATGTTGCTGATAAAGGTGTATTATGAGTATGTGGTTTTAAACTAGCACAAAAATAAATTTTTACTTTAGAAATTAAAAGAATAAATTAAAATAAGGGACTTTTTAAGTTTTTAACTAACTTGGATACAGCCTTAAATTCTGCAGGAGTTGGAAGTTTCGCAAGTGATTTTTTCAACACGGGAGCTAATAATTTAAGTGTCGAAGCATATTCTTTATTAGATATCACAAAAGATAAAAGAAAGAGTAACCGTGTTTTTTTTTCGTTATCTCTAATAAATTCTTCGTTTTCCGAATTATTTATTTCTGTCATTTTGTTAAAAAACAAAAAATTAGGAGACGAGAATGGTCAACAAACAATCAGACGATCTTTATTACAAGATAATCAATCAATGTTCCAGAGTCCAGATTTTACAGGACGTACGACGTCGTACAGGTGATGCTAGCGAACGACGTTTAAATTTTAGAAAAATGGCTTTATTATGATTGGTATCACCTGTCACTTTTAATTCTATATTTCATTAAAATACTGAAAAGGAAATCCCGAAAAAAAAAATCGAAAAGTTTATTGTTTTTGAATTATAATATTTAATGAATATTTTACAGAATTTTTTATTACAATATATGCAAGTTAAAAATATAAATTGAATTGCCATGGCATGTGAAACATTTTTTTAAAATAAATAAAAAAAATTATTATTAAACAACAGTTGAAACAACGATGAGAGCAGATTCAAAAGTTTCATTTTCTCCGCCTTCTAATACACGAGTAATAGGAAGATAAGCAGGTCGATCATATTTTTGAATATAATCCTATATGAAAAATAATTTATTAACACAAAAACGATATATAAATATTACCACCAAATTAAGTATATATAATACTATCACGTTTACCTGAGCATAATGTAAGGAATATTTCTTTTCTTTTGCGGTAGAATTCTTACCAATCCAAACAAAAACTACAAGTATAAATATTTTTAAATATTAAATTAAATTGAATAAAAAAATATTGTAAATGTACTTTAAACAATACCTTCATGACCAGCATCAAAAACAAATACGTCGTTAGAATCAAATTGATCTTTAGTAATTGTACCAGCAGATTCTTCCTTAAAAGTCAATTCTCCCGAAGCATCACTTACTCTTTGAAAAAAAAGAAGGAAGGTAAATTAATTTATGAGTGTAAAAAATATTTAAATGAAGGGGATAATGATAAATACCTGAAAAGTTTACGTTCAACTTTAGTCATATCTTCGCCAGTATCTTCTTCAGCAGATTTGATATCACCTTTACTACCAAGTGCATCCCAGAATTTACTCATTTCTCTATCTCCCTCATCTAAAATTAAGAAAAATTACTATACTTATTTCGAGAATGACATTAAAAATTTTCTTTTATAAAAAAATCTTACCTATCACGACAACTTTACTTGCACCTTGTCGTTCACCTTCAATAGCTCTAACAAGTTCAGCAGCTTTCATTCTTTCAGAACCTTGAGATTTTTTACCATTTAATTGATAAATAGTAGTGCCAACATCCAATATAAATACATCACCACTATTCAATGATGTATAATCCTTTGGTACTTCTCTAATTACAACAGTACGTTTAATTTGTTTTATTTTAAGCAGACGAGGACGATATTCAACTGGTTTAAGACGATTAAATCCTGAATCTATTCCTCCATCTTCAACTCGAAATTGTTTAAAATGAGAAAGGAATAATCCAGATTCACAACTTTGAACCTAAAATTCGAAATAAATTTAAAAAGAGAATTGCGACGAAAAAATAATATTAAATTTAATTTACCTCACGATGTTGAACTGGAGATGTTCCAAGAACTAGATAGATTTACGATTAAAATTTTATTTCAAAAAAAAAAAAGATTAATGATTACTCACAATCATCCAATTCAACAGTTTTGTAAGCGGCAGTTCCAACTTCATCCTAAATTAAAGGTTATAATAAATAATTATTTTAAGATAAAAGTTAGCTCAAAAATCAACTACTTACCTGACTACTATCTAATCCAAGCCAAAAATGAATATCGTGGGCCAATGCTTCAGTATTATCATTCTTCTTGTAAGACTATCATTTAACATACAACATACATATCATTGATTAGATCAGTAGTAAAATTGAAAATGTAAATTTTATAAAACACTTGCATAAAGTACGATGTAACTGTCGCCTTTATGAGTTAAGATGATTTGTATTAGAAAATAAAATAATAGCGAATATTAATTGAACAAATTTTATAAAATAATAATAACAATATACAAACCAGAATAAAAAAGTCCGTATTTTTCTTTTGGCCATGGCACAACATTAAACTTTTCTATACGCCATATCCAAAGGCCTCTATTAATATAAAATTTATGGAATTTATTAAATTAATCATTAAATCATTAGTTTTATAATAAACACACTTACGGTTTTTGACCAACCATTGCAGAAGGATCGGCCCAAGCTTGTTCTTGAGCACTAGCGTCAGAACGAACGTCTTTTTCAAGTTGAGTGCCAAAATTGGCAAGGTTGGTAGTAGCAATATCTGAAGAAAATAATAAACATTAAATTTAAGCTGGTGAGCTTCTTAAAAGTAAAATTTATTTACCCCACTTTGGTTGTCTGGTAAGTTTCATGACAAAAACTGTTTTTTTTTAAAAAAAAAAAGACTAAGGAAAAGGAAAATTTTGAGAACAAAATTCCACGCATTTATTCAAGATTATCGGGAATGGATTTATGGAGAATGATTGGCAGTTTAATTAATCTAATTAGGTACTTACTACCGTATCTTAGTTAGTGCAGATACTAGTAGATAAGTCTAATTTTTGAATCAATCGATTACTTTTAATAAAATACGCAATCTTAATAAAAAAGAATAATATTTAATAACGATAATAAAATGTTAATTGTTTAACTATAAAGACATAAATAACGTCAAACGGTATAATTAATAAATTTTTGTATAATAAAGATTCTGAAATTTGTCTTAGAGACACTGTACTTTATATTATATGTTTCAAATATTTTACGTTTGATGATACTTTGTTTGTTAATTCTTTATACTGTACATAAACTGATTCAAATCCAGATGTAAATTACAAACTGAGTTTTACGTTTATACATTCACATAACATACACAAAATCAATCATAAAGACCTCTTTACTTCTTTGCTTTTTATACGAAATAAGACACACCGACATAAGAGCAGTATAAGAGCGTGGTATAAAAAGATCTACAAACTTCTAAATTCGTACAAAAAGTAAAAATAAATAATAAGGAGACAATATTATTTCGTAATCCCATACGCTTTCCATATTCGGGACAATTTGCAATGAAATTCAAATACAATATTAACCATTACATTATTCATTGTTCTAATAATATTCGAGTCATTTGATTTGCCGTAAGTTAAAACCTACAAATATTTAATTTATAAATTATCATATTGTCTATTTTATTATTATATGTCGTTATTCATCGACAGCCGATTTTTTTTCAGTTCTTCAGTTCGATTTTTTGATGACCAAATATATTTTATTTTTGAAGATAAAAAAAGGAAATTGAAACAACAAAGCAGGATATATACGATAAATATAAATAATTACTGGACAAAAATTTTGAAAACAATAATAAACTTTATAATTTAAACTTTATATGTCACATACCCCTGAAAATTACTCTATCGTACAACAAACCTTTTTCTAAAAAAATGTAGAAATTTATATATTGTTTCCGGGTTTTAGAATAAATTATAAATACCTACCGAGAAAAAAAAAATGTATTCCAAAAAAAATAAAAATTTCCTAAAAAAAAAAAATTATTTTTTTTTCCCACTTTCTTCCATCACACCCCACCCCTTCTTTGTAAATCGTTGAAAAAATAAATGATGAAATATTTTGTTTTAATTTTCATCATCGCTACTATCGTTAGTGGATGTAGCGTTAAAGTAAATGCTGCTTCAATACTTTTTAATTTACATACTAGATCGATGCAAAGGTAAAGATTTATTTTTTATTTCAGATTATTTGAAGATAGAATTAACGCTTTAAGATCATCGCATAAATTTTAAATTTAACCTTTATTTCTGTAATTATTAGTCCGCAGGCCGGAACAAGTCCTATAACAGAAGATGGTCCACCTCAACCAACGGAAGTACCTTCATCATTACCATTATTTTATTATAACCAAACTATCGATCATTTTAGCAAGAATTCAGGAAATTTCTTGCAAAGATATTATGTAAATTCAACTTTTTATAAAGAAGGCGGTCCAATATTTCGTAAGTTTAAATAAAATTATCTTTTCTTTCAGAGTTTCACTCGTTTATTAACCATTTTTTTTTTTTTTTAATTATGTAGTTCACACACCTGGTGAATCTGGTATTAATCAAATAATACCAACAAGTTCTTTTGTTAGTAATTTAGCAGCAAGTTTTAATGGAATGTTGATAAGCCTTGAACATAGATTTTATGGTGAAAGTTATCCACCAATTAATGATTTGTCAACTCCAAATATGAAATTTTTGACAATTGATCAGGCATTATCGGATTTTGCAAATTTCATAAAATATCCACCAAAAGAATTAAATATTACAAAAGATTCTAAATGGGTTATGGTAGGAGGTTCATATGCAGGAAATTTAGCTACTTGGATGAGAAAAAAATTTCCTAACCTTGTATCTGCCGCTTATGCTTCTTCGGCTCCAATAGAAGCTAAATTAGATTTCTTTGAATTTGATCAAAGGATAGCTAAAGCTTTACCTTGCGCACAAAATATTTCTGATGCTTTTAGATTTGTTTATGATCCTATTTTATTATCCGGTAATGAAACTGCCATTTTAGGATTAAAACAACAATTCGGTTTAGAAATGCTTGAAGATAATAAAGATTTTGCTTCCGCTATAAGTCATCCAACTGCTAACATTGTACAAAATTATGTTCAATCTCCTGACATACCTGATCCTATATTGTCCGTTTGCACTCCATTCTCTCAAGTTCAATCATCATCTCCTGAAACTTCCGCTTTTATTTATGCTGAAGGTGTTAAAGCTTTTTTAAATATTACCGGTATAATAACTCCTGAGGATAAACTTGCAAAATTCGCTACAACTTCTATAAATACAAAAGAAAAAAATGATTTGGCTCCTTATACTTATCAATATTGTAATGAATTAGGTTATTATCAAACTTTTCCAAAATCTTCTCCAATAAGTACTCGTTCTCAAATTATAGATATTGATTATTATCAAGGACAATGTGATTTCTTATTTCCTGGAATACCTTCTTCTCCAACAATTAAAAAAACAAATAAGAAATTTGGTGGATTCAATGGTAAATTCTCTAAAACTGTTTTTGTTAATGGCGATATTGATCCTTGGACAGCTTTAACTGTCAGTAGTGAATCAGCTAATCCAAAAGTAGAAAAAGATACAATCTTTCTTATTAAAGGTGGTTCTCATGTGACAGATTTTGCTCCTCCTTCACCTTCTGATTCTGAATCATTACAAGAAGCAAGAGTTTTTGTTTTTAATACTTTAGTTAAATGGTTGTAATAAAAAAATCTATTAAAATTATATTAGTATAGTAATAAATAAAAAAGGTAAAGTGTGTGTATGGGAATAATTTTATTTAATTTATTTTGTAATTTTTGTATTTTAATGTAATTACTTCTCTTTTTGTTTTTTTTAAAAAAAAAAATTAATTTTTATTGTCCAATTATTTAATAAAATAATAATTTACTAAAGTATTATAGCTAATGAAATTTTAATTATATTACTGCATACTAATTCTTGAAGTAAAATGTGTGAACTATGAGATTTTAACTATTTCTATAACATTAACATCAGGAATTACAAATATAAAAGTGGAATTCTAAAATTATGTGTTCGTATTTTGGCTGAAATTACAATATACAGCCAGAATTATAATTTGTGATCACAAAAGAAAATATTAGGTATATACTGTATATGAAGTAATAATACTAATTATAATTGATTTGTTAAGAGATAATTTAATATAAAAAATTATATATGAAACATATGAATTTGTCAAATCAATTTAATTTAATTTGACTGAATTATTTGCAGAATACATCTAAAAATTGAAATATTTCAGTGTTAGTCAGGCATATATTATAATAAAATTATTTAAAATAATTATAGAACATAAATTACACCAATTTATTAAAAACTATTTTACTATTTTAATCATAAAGTTACTTTAATATTATCGTGTTTATTTATATAGTTAATATTATAATATTGATAGGTGCATATATCATCAATTGCAGCTAAAAAATATTTATAATTATGTTAGTCATATAATGGCTAGTAATATATTGCTTCAAGTATTCAAATTTTATAATATCAGACTTTAAACAAAAAGTTTACTTCAAATTTTAAAAAAAAACTATGGATTAAATCAAATTTTTTGTTATATAATTAAAACATTTAATCTTAAACTTTATGCTTTTATCATGTTTAAAATAAATTTACCAAAAAAAACTTTATCAAAAATAATGTTCAGACCCAAGTTCTTAATGGGTAAATAGATTGACCTGTTAAGAGAAATACAAATCTGGGTTGGTACCTGCTAAGGAAAGTTTGACCTAATTTCTTATCAGGTTAATCCAGATTAAATAACAGTCATTTTAACAGTTGAATAGCGGGTTGCTTAATGGATTTTAATGGTTGGATAGTGGGTTGCTTAAAGGGTCTAATGGGTTAATAATAGTTTCTTAGCAACAGGTTTAAAGAATTAACGATAATATAAAATGTAAGATAAAAATTTAAAAAAAAAATATTAATTTTTTTTAACGTTTTTTTTACATAATTATCTGAAATACATCACATGAAAATTCTCCAACCTGTTTAGCTAATTTGTTTAAACTATTAACCTGATAATCTGTTACAAAACTGATACTCAATATCATTTATCAGGTTAAACCAATTGTATCCGATAGTCAATTTTTAAACCTGAGTAGAATCTGTTAGTTAAATTTTAAAACCGTAAACCCAATATAAACAGATATCCGTTATAACCCGTTAATTACGGGTTACAAGTTTAAATACTAATCAAAGACTCGTTAACACAATAAGTTTTAAAGTTTTATTTTTCTATATACTAAATTTTTAATTAACACTATATATGCTACACTAGAATAAGACCCCAAACAATACTGATACAACTCACATTTGATAGGCTAACAGTAATTTTTATTAATCATTTATAACTTCATAAACTCAAAATACAATGAAAAAGTAAAAGTAAATAAATAAAACTAAAATAAAAAGAAAATAGTCGCACAAATTTGTACATATAGAGAAGTAAACTAAACTATAAATCCCAAACTTGTATATCCCAACTTTAAACCTAAAAAGCAAAGTTTCAGATCAACTACCCAAATCCAGAAAATCTTACCCAATCTTACAACCTGCCAAGATATTATTCCAGATGAGGACTGTTCGACTCTTCAGAAAACCCAACAGGTAGTGAAACCATGATTGTCGTTGAGTTAAGGAGGAATAGAGCCACTTAATACCAAGAGAAGATCAATCAGAAGCCTGAAGCGGGGAAAGAGGCCCATCGGCCAGAGACAAAGCTACTTGAGGAGCGGAAAAATGAAAAGGTTGAACAGAAGGTCCTTTGTATGATCGAAGAGTACTCGGCAGAATTCCTTTTGCTGCGTCATTTATAACTTTAATTTTACACCTCAGTCGCCAAAGTCCGTGATAAATTTCATGTTGAAGTTTCAAATACAGTCAACTCCCTCTATAGTCACTCCCGTTATAGTCACATTCTACTATATAGTCACACCAGTTGAATGTTCAAAACACTTTATTATTAAAATCTATCCTATATAGTCACAATCTATC